TCTCTCTCTCTCTCTCTCTCTCTCTCTCTCTCTCTCTCTCTCTCTCTATTTCACTCCATGTGTCACTTCAAATGGCAAATTATTTGATGTTTGAAGAACGCTATTTCTTGTTAGAATCCACACTTAAAGTTAGCTTGACACTGAAATTCAAATCGACTCGCCTCGCAGCATATGCATATATATATTTTTGGAATCGCATTGATGTTTGACTGTTGTGCATACATATAGGATGTGCATGCCCGAATTTTTATTCAAATTCAATTTTATAACGTTACACACAACGGGCGCGCAAATACGGAAAACTTTGTTTACATGCCAATCCCGAGGGGCTTTCGATTTAACTATAATAAAATTTGAAATGAAAGTCGAGAAAAAAATAGAAAGAAAAAAAACCCGTCCCCATTGCATCGCATTGTGTCACGGCATTGACAGCAATAACTAATTGTTGCTGCAGTACACTTTTTTTTCGTACTTGACGACAAAAACATTACCGTAACCAGCGAGAGAGAGAGAGAGAGAGAGAGGGAGAGAGAGAATTGAACATAGAACCAAAGTAGAGTGAGAGAGGAAAAAACATCAACAGCAGATTGATTTACCGTGGTGCCTATGGTAACGTGAAAAAAACAGTAGCGTCTAACTCAACTATTCCGTATGACTGATCGACAGACAAAGTAATAAAATTATTTCGGTGTGTTACATGCAGCACACAAATTAGTCAGTGCAATGAAATGCCACCCAAACGAACAGAATGAAAAAAATAACAACAAAACTCCCCGAGCACGAGTTGTCGAGGCTCCCGACCAAACCAAAAAAAAAGTATATGCGAGAGTGCAAGCAATTCACAGCACAGTTTGTTAAACTGCAGGATGAACCAAAAATGAAAAACTAACGACAGCCACAGAGAGTACGGGAGCGAGAGAAAGAGAGAGAGAGCAACGAAATAAAAGCACACGAAATAGTCTATTTACACGGTCGTAATGCACTTGTACTCAAAGAGCACCGTCCCTACATACGTGTGTCTATGTGATGTGTGTGTGTGTGTGTGTGTGTTCATTTTGTACATTTGGCGGCTGTTGACGATAAATATTGGTTTGGGTTGTGAATAATTGAAACGATTCGCAGTGTGAACATAACGAAACGAAATGACGGGGAAAAAACAACTTCGACGTGAAGTACACTGTATATTATACATACTATGAGCAATGTTTGCACATTTGCTACACGTGTTTCAGCCCGTCTTTTTTTGTTCACTTTCTGACTTTGATATCATTTCCATAAACAAACTTTCCTTCACCAAAGGCCCAAATGCAGGCAAATAATACAATTTCATTCAAAGCACCTAAAAGAATCAAACAATTCAATTTGCGTTCGACATATTGAAATGAAAATGCTTGATTCAGCCTTTTCTTATTTCCGCCGTTAAAATAAAATGTGTGGGTCTTGGCAATAATTGCCTCTTTTTTCTGTCTGTTTCGGTTGTCACCTTCGTTTTTGAATTCAATCAATTTCCCATTTGCTCAGCACAGCAAGAAAATAGGAAATAATTAAAAAAGCTTTTTACCATAATTGTCAATCACAATTGCCATATTTTTTTACTTCTTCTCTGAATAATTTATTGATTTGCTGACTTTTCTCTATTTATTTTTCTTGTTCCGTGCACTTTTTTTCTGTGGTTAATGCATTTCATGCGCTCGCTTGATATTCGATTATCCACGAAAAAACAACGACGATGACGAACGAAAAACAATTCAACCATCGCTAATCGATTTTAGCGCCAGTTAATGGAGAATTACATAAAACAAAAGCGTGCAACACCGGGCATGGTGCAAGCCAGCGATTTGCAAATTCGACCAATGTCGGGCACAACGCAAATTCCCACATCGGCCAAATCGAATTGTGGCGGTATGCGTGTGAGCAGCCGCGAATTACATGCATACGATGGACCGATGCAGTTCATGATGTCGCCAAATAATCCGGATCAAATTTTGCCAACGTCCACACTAACATCGCCGAGCAGTGAAGGTAGGTGGTTTTTGTTTGTTTTGTTCATTCGTTCTTTTAGTTTTTTTTAGTTGTAACACAAAATCAACCAAAAATTATTATTTCGGTGTGCATAATTTTGCGTAAAACTGACTCAAATAGATTTAATAGAAACGATGCCATACGATATGGAGGACGAGGAGAGTACACCGATTGAAATCATTTCGACGAAGGGCATGGTATCACCGTCAAGTGCATCGAACAATCAGGCAATCGGTGATTATCCATTGTCGGGCGGTAGCAGTGCTGGCATTGTGAGCAGCCATAGTGGCGGTGCTATTGATCCAATGGATGCGATAAATTCACGAAATAATTCAGCGCCCGTCACACCAGCCGCACACAACAAAGCCAAACAAAATTCACAAGCATCCAACGAACTGGAGGGCGATGTAAGCGGACAAATCGAACAATGGGTGGTACAGCCAGCTGCTCAAGGATGCTTATACAAGTGCCGAATAACACGAGATCGAAAAGGTATGGATCGTGGACTGTTTCCGTTGTATTATCTCCACTTGGAACGTGAATACGGGAAAAAAGTCTTTCTTCTGGCGGGTAAGTCTGATTTTTTGTTTTGTATGTCATCGTTTGCATTTTCAAGTAGCAACCGTGAAATGTGCATTGATACATATTGTTAACATGAACAAAAAAAAAACACAAACTCCACTCTAGGTCGTAAGCGAAAGAAGAGTAAAACATCTAACTACATCATAAGTTGCGACCCGACCGATTTATCGCGACAAGCTGATGGTTTCGTCGGCAAACTCCGGTCAAATGTTTTTGGTACGACATTTTTTGTGTATGACAATGGCAGCAAAACCAACCAAGATGAACTGCGCCAAGATATGGCCGTGATAGTTTACGTAAGACACATTTTGCTCAGATTTTCTCATTTGATTTCACGCAATACTCAATTCATTTGTAGCGCAGAGAGTAGAATTTCATTTATTTGACGCTTTTTTCGCCACAGGACACAAATATTTTGGGTTTCAAAGGGCCACGCAATATGACTGTTCTATTGCCTGGCATGACTGAAGATGATCAACGTGTCAAAATAAGTTCATGTGATCCGACACAACAGGGATTATTAGATAGCTGGAAAACAAAGGTAAATGAAGATTAACCCATATGAAGCTTTCAATCAAACTAACTTATTTTTTTTGCCGTTATGGTTGGTTGTTGGTTGTAGTGATGGGGGTTGTAATGAATGGTTCCGAAAATCCCTTCGACTAATCGAATTTCTGCTTTTTTTCTTCCCATCACAGAATATGGACAATGTGGTGGAATTGCATAATAAAACGCCCGTTTGGAATGATGATACACAGTCGTATGTATTGAATTTCCATGGCCGTGTCACACAAGCATCGGTGAAAAACTTTCAACTGGTCCATGATTCCGATCCAGATTATATTGTAATGCAATTTGGTCGTACGTCAGAGGATGTATTTACTATGGATTTTCGCTACCCATTGTGTGCCTTGCAAGCATTTGCAATTGCGTTGAGTAGTTTTGATGGAAAGCTAGCATGCGAGTGAGAAACAGATCATCCAATGTGAAGAAAAATGCACACACATACAGCCTGAAGTACACAGGACAGAAAAAATACCGAGAGAATGAACGAGATAGAGAGTTAAAGTTTGGAGAAGAGAGAGATATATAGAGATACAAAAACAAAATCAAACTTATAGAATTAATGGCAATTTATCTCTGTCTATGCATAAGGATGTCGGTAGCATTACTATTGTAAATTGTAATGAAATTAGTTTTTTTACAGCTAATTTATTGCAAACAAACAAAAAAAAAACTAAACGAATTAGACGATTAATGTATTTATATAAATCTATATATATATATATATATATATATTTGGACAAAGTTCCGGAAACTTGTGTAGTTCGTATTGAAAAATGTATTTATTGCAAAGTTATTCAACAATTGGCCATTTACACTTTAGAGTTTGACAGGAAAAAGAAAACATCAACAGCAATGGTGTAAAACTCTGGACATGGCAAAATTAATTTGTGTTTTAACGAAAGTATTTAACAGACAAAAAAAAACAATTAACTTGAAGAACAAAAAAGAACAATTAGTACTTTTTCTCTATCCATTTTAATGTGGAGAAGAAAACTCTCAGAAGAAGAGGAAGGAAAAATGGAGAAAAAAAAACTAAGAGACGAAATTAACAATTACAATAAATTTGATTGCCTTTTGTCATTCAATGCATTTAACTATTTATTTCTTGGGTTGTGGACTTTTCACACATTTTCTCATCTCTGTCCTAGACATATTTTTCCCTCTCCAAAAATCAAAATTCGTACATTTTTCTCAACATATGAGACATGAAATTGAAAACCAGTTTATATTATGTAGTTTTTGTACGACATTCTAAGTGTTTGAAACATTTAAACAGACACATGCAAAATTACTTAACGAATACAATAACAGTTGTGGCAATTGTTTAACTTGATGTTTCAATGCATTTCAAACCGATAACAAAATATGTAACAAAAGTCAACAAACATAGAGTTCATTGAACAAACAAAAACAACATTTGATGGAATTTATTTAATTTGATAAACTCAGGCGAATTTCAAGAGCTAATTAGATTGATTTGATATATTTGACTGTAATTTATTACGATTAATGCTATTTTACAAACAAAAACCAGTGTAGTGGCCATATTCACATATTTACTTCGGCGATTATTATAAACTGTACTACAAAAGGCAGAAACAAAGGCAGAAGAATTTTTCAACGCATTCAAAGTTAATGAAAATGAAAAGAAAATACACACACAAAAGAGTTGTTCATGATTAACAAGCAATCAAATAATTGGCCGGCCGTCGCTTCGCTTCGGCATGGTGTGGCAAAATTTGCCAGATTTGCCAACAAGATCCACTTCAAACCCACAGTTTCTATGCAGAGGGCCATCCCAGTGCGGCAAAACAAAATGAAATGATGAACATTGGTCCATCCCAGTGAGGCAATAGATATTAAACAGAAGCATCGCAGTCGATAACTTTGTTCTAAATAAGCAATTTGACGAATGAAAAAAAGGGAGAAGAAAATGAAGAAGAAAACCACAATTTTACAATAAACAAACAAAATCAAATTAATCGACGTTTGCTACAACAAATTGCTCAAAAAAAAATAGACAAGTTGATATTATATACAATGAATAGAGAATAGTAACTCGCAACAGATCGGCGCACACCTTGACCGATGCGTGAATCAACTTTTAGCTCATTTTTAAGATCAAATTCAAAAGACATACACACACAAATTGTATTTGTGTCAATGGGAAATCTACATTATGTGGAGAATTTGTATTTTAACATTTTCCAAGCGAATTATTCTTGAACGGGCTCACACTCTTTCATCACCTCCGCTGAGAAGTGAACAACTGTTTTTTTTTAAAAACACATTTCAATTTTCGGAAGAAAAATTCTAAAAGAAGATTTTCTAAAAAATTCCAAAATTCAAGTGCGAATTGAGTGCTCACTGTTTGGGGTGTGGACCGATTCCAAGATTCATTTGACTTCGTTTTCGATTGAGACATTGACACAACATATTTATATTTTTAATATGACTAATAACTGATCTACACGCAAAAGAAATAAGTTGTCTGAAAGTGTCTTATTTTTTCTTCGAACGACAATGCATTAGGTCAAACAGACAATTTTTTCCCTTAAACGCGCCTCCCTATCTATCTAATCCCATTAATTTTACCATTTATATTATTTTTTCTTCGTTCGTCTCTAATTATTGTATAGATGAGTGAAGTTAATGCACCGTGTGCTTCTCTTTATACAAAAAAACTATTTATTTTGACATTGATTTTGAACATTTCAGATGCATTAATCTGAACATTGACATTAGACATTAGGTTAAATTAGTCTTTAGCAGCAGAAGAAGATACAAGAACAAAGAAAAAAAAACATGAAAACTGAATAATTTTACATAGGGAACCAATTGGACGATAAGTTTAATTTAATTTTTAATAACAAAATTTCGACCATTACTATCTATCGATCAAAGCATTCATTTTTTTTTAAATCAAAAGAATAACTTATTTTTCATCAAAATTCCGTACATCTACGTTAAGCAATAAGACTATTTTTATGCACTAATTTTATGTTCGTAATAACATTCAGAAAAAGAAAAGAGAACAAAATAAAACATTTATGATTGAAGCAACAGCAGCAAGAAATTTGAGAACAACACATAAATTGTGCTTAATTTATTTTTGTCTCAATTCAGTTGTTGAATTGAATCGCACATACCCGTACGATATAAATCATATACCATTGATATGGCTTCAACTCATTTAATTTTAATTGCAAATTGTATTTTGATTGTTTGAACAGAATTGGATAAAATCTAGTCATGTATTAAATTCAATAAAGTGACAACAATTTGGATTGAATATATTCGATTCGTGGATTTTTTGTTTGAATATTTTTCTTTCAGTTTTTGTTTCATTTGGCATCCAATCGGCTCGATGGGTAGCAACGGCATCGTTTAGAGAATTCAGAACCATTTGGCTGGACTAAAATTTTAAAAAGAAAGAGAACATTTATGTAAATTCAAAAAATTCTGGCCATTCAAATCCATTGTGTGTTCTAAGATACAAATCAATATGGATTTGATTGAAAATTCCAATTTCTATTGGAAATGTCTCAAAATGTTTGTCTTACGCAAAATGATATAATTGTTCAGGAGAGCAGCTCAGGAGTTATCAGCATCACCAGATAAAAATTCATTTCCATCGATTTGAAAGTGGCATTTTGATTGGCTGAAATAGTGCACATATTTCCAAAGTCTTAACTTGAGACTCTCAAAAGTGGTACATTAGGTACGTCCATTTTCGATCTCCTCCCACTGGATGCTCACAGCTATGGATTCTCGATTTGTTGCATCGATAGCAGTCTTTGTTGATCGTCGTTGTCATTGATGTTGGTTGACGACTGGTTGAACCGTAAGTGTTACAAACGGACGAAAGTCCCACCGATCTGTTAGTAAATACGACCGCTTGAGACTGTCATCCGGGTGTACCATGCTTAAACGTGTCACATGCCAAATCCGTACAGACCACAACCGCCTCAAAAACACTCTTTGCATAAACATATTGTCAACGAATTTACAAGCTATTCATGTAAAAATCCACCTATTTTCCATATTAAATCCATGGCATTGCACACGCACACCTGGAGCAACTGCGTGACAAAAGCACAAGAGTGAGAGAAAAAGAAAGAAAACGACAGAAAAAAAACATTACCATAAAATTCAATTAGGAAAAAAAAATCGCATTTTTCTGACGTTTGTTCGTTTTGGATGTTAGACGAGAGCTCAATTTTAAGTCAACGGTTTCTCGTGCGGTCCAAAACGAATGCAAAACGTGTGCACCGTGGATTGAATGCAAAAAATGCGATAAAGTGAAACAATACGAAGAAAAAGTACCGTCCGTTCGTCAGCCGAACGAGAGAACAACAACAACACAAACACTCGAAAGAATTTCGCTCTTGGTTTGAAGGAACAATATCCAAAATTATTCCGACTGACGAATAAAATCGACGAGTTGCAAAGCTTCGAAGAGACTCCAAAAAAATATATACGAAAAAGAATTAGACCGACGAACAGTAACCTTGAAATGAATTTGTATAAATTAATTTTTGGCATTTCAAGGTAAATGTCGTTTGTCGACGACTTAGAACACACACACACACTTACACAGTACACGCAACAACACTCGACTTTGGCATTTTTATTGTCAAAAAAAAAACCCGAAGAGAAAAGAAAAGAAACGACAACGATACACAACCGAGCCGAACGACTGGGTGTGTACGATTGTCTTTGGTTTTGCTTTTTCGCACGGTTTTTCTGTTGCAGCTGATTTTGTGTTGAATGTGTCGTCGTGCCTGTCGTCCGCAACCGCTCTCTCGCCAAACCCAAATCAAATGTGCTACTCTTCATCTCTTCTTGAAATGTGTTGTTGTTGTTGTTGTCGATTCTCCTTGCCTTGCACATTGGCCGACTGAAATGTTGACCGACCGACCGACCGACCGCGTCATTCTCAATGAAGACACTCGAACTGATGAATGTGTATACTGAAAATGAAGACAGAAAGAGAGAGAGAGAGAGAGAGAGAGAGAGAGAGAGAAAAACATGAAACTTACACCAGACACTTTCAACAAGCTCCACAACCAATCGAGAATGTACGATAAATGATAAATTTAGCACATTTTCGAATTGTACATACAATAAATTTGAATATGTACGTATGTGCGTACTGTATGGAACGCATAAACGAGAAACCAATGACGAAAGAACAACAACAAAAAAACGTCTAGCAGCAAATGGAAAAGAGATGCGAATATATGTGCTAAGACTATTATTGTATGACTAAAAAGACGATCGCGTTATTTGCCGTTGGTGCTGTTGTACTTTTCACTCTTCATTTGCGCAAAAAAAAAGCGATTCGCATTTACTTGTGAATGTGTGGAATGTCAACAACAATGGCAACGGAAAAAATTAAGAAACGACGTCACTCCGTATCAATTGGTCATTGGGGTATACACATAGAATGTGCGCGCGGTTCATTTGTGCACATACCAATGAATGAACGAACAAGGGAGAGAGCGAGAGAATAAGTGTACAACGATTCTTGCGATTATTGTAAATATGGGAAAATTAAAGTATTTTTTGAAGTGGTGTATCGACCCGCTTTTATCTTATGTTAACGACTATTAATTCGGTGGATTATCATAAACTGTATTTAAACGTCTTTTTTCGGGTTATTGTAGTACATATTTCATTTCTTTTCGTTCATTTCTTTTTTCTCTGCTACTTCACTCGGTGGATGAGTGTATTGTGCGCAAAAGCGCTTTATCAGTTATTACATCACCTTCGCTGTTTAAGGCGATCGCACACAGTTTAGCAAAACAATGAAAATCGGTTTGAAAAAGTCAGCAATTATTCAATTAACGCACGCAGTTCCAGCCACATTTTTCTCGCAATTTGCATTATTTTTTTTCTTACTAATTTTCCCGTTGCTATTCACGGTTCATCTACATTCTAACCATTCGAAATCCTCATTTTGGCTTGAAAATCTCGGAACAATTTGGTATGAAATCGATGAGTTCAATTTAATTGAAATGAGAACATTGAGTTTTTATTTCGTGATTGACTTCGTTGTCGCACATTTTTGATCGTGAGAAGTAGAAAAAAACGCGGCTTAATTAATTTTATTTGTTCATACTTATATGGTTTTTTTTTCTCGTACATAGTTCACATTAGATGTGCACTAAAAGGAATGACGAGAGGAGAAAAAAAAACGTATGAAAAGCACGACCGAAGTCGAAGTTAGTATATGACACATACACACAGTTGTACTGTTTTGCCCATTTTAGTAAAAAAAAAAAACGATAAAAAAAATGCGGCGATTATTGTCACATTTGGTCGCATTAAGTTTTACCTAATTGAATATATTTGGAATTTTCGTGTGACCTCCAATGTCTAAAAAAAGCGCACGCAACTTGATTGCATCTCAAGTGATTTCAAACATTTGACGCACATAATTAATTGGCTGCGGTTATATTCTCCCTCTCTTACTCCGTCTTCCTCCCTTTGCTGTGATCATTAACTATTGCACTGAAACTCTTCACCGACAAACGACTGCAGGCAACAACAACGAAAACTTTTTGCAACCGTTTTTTATTCCATGTACACCACGCGAGGCTTGGCGTTTTATCGATGAGACAAAGCCGATTCCTGCATCAAATGAAACACCGAATATTCAAATGTGCGATGTGTTCTCACGGTCTCGCGGGGCTTCAATTGTGCACACACACACACACTCCTTCTATTTAATTAATTTTGATAAGACTGCGAAACGCGCTTTGTGCGATGAGTAATTCAACGCAAAAATTTCAAATAATTGTCATTGAACTTAATATGGTTTTTTTCTTCTCTCTCTTCTATCGTGGTGCGTTTTGTTTTACTAATCAAAATGACATCATTTTCGTATTTATTCACGAAATTGGTATGATCACTTGTTAATTTACGCCTGTTTCACCGTTTATATGTATTAAAAATAGCCACACAATATTATTAGCTGTTGCTGTTAGAATTTGAAAAATGATCAGAAAAATGATCGAAACTCTTCGTTCTTGAAAACAGCCAAGTATTTTTACCCCAAACGAATTTTGAATTGATCGTGCTTTGTATGCCGAAAAAACCGCGGATAATTGAAACACTATTTGAGAACGAAGTGCAAGACCGAAAAAAAAACAGAACACAACCGCGCACGCACACACACCGACAGAGTATTGAACAGCAAAATGACTAATTATTGGATGAGAGACAGTACCGTGCTGTGTCGTTAACAAACCATTTATGAGACTGGCTCATCGTGTCAGACCCGCCTTTTGGCCGTATAGTGGCGTTAAGTGAGTAGACGGTGTGCGAATGTCGTACTATATACTCTCAAATATACAGTTTGATTGTTGTTAATTTGTGTTGTTCTTTCGTACGTTTGTGGTTGCTCGTTTAACGTCGCCCGTCTCTTTCTGTCCAGTTAGTGTCGTTTGCGTTGTGCAAATTGCAATATCGGTTTGTTTCATCGCTGTCAAATATACAGCGAAAGCGACACACTCTATCAGACCAAACAAAACATATGTTTGCCGTTTTCGCTTCCGAATATCAAACTGTTGTGAGTATTTTTTATTCTCGCATTCGGTTTGGAATATTCAGGCGATCGGTGCGTTTTTCTGCACACGGGCCCCGATTTTTTTTTCTTCTTCTGTCTCGTTCATTTAATTTTGGTGTATTTGTTTTGTAGGGATGTAGTGGTACGGGTTTCCTTCCACTATTCATTTGGTCGCATTTTTTTTATATTGAGCAAATTCGCTTTATATTTCTTTTTTGAATTGAACGATTTTTGCAAGTAGAACTTCAATATAGAAACGAACGGAGTGAATGAGACAAACATGCGAAAATAGTAGAATGAAGTAAAGAACAAAAAAATAAATAAATAATGAAGCGAAACAACAAAACCATATATATATATATATATATTCGCATAAGTGTACTGCTGAAATCGACACACTCTTTCCATTCACAAGCACGCATTATTTCTTTTTTTATTCCGTTGACGACCAAGCAACACACATTGCCATATCGCAAATATACACAAATGAACGCTGTCGTTTTTATTTGCTTTGATTATTATGAATCTCACTAAATCGTCAAGGCTGCACGCAAACAAGCTTAAACTTGAATTCGTACAATCGCCTTTTATGCCTGAACGAATGAACGAACGTACGCGCATACAATTGCTAGCTCACTCCTGTTCATTCGCTCTCTGTCTCGCTCATTCGCATTTTACGGACAAAATCGAAGAGTTCTCTCTGTGTTCACACACTCCTTAATTCACGCAGCATTTTGTTTTTTTCGCTCCTTTTATTCAAAAATTCTATTACCGCAAAGAAGTGCGTCTATAAGACGAAAAATTAGCAACACCGTACTGAGTACTTTTGCTGACGAACGAAACTATATAAGCAAAACGATCGAACAAAAGCCCGAATAAAGTAGTACGGCATGGAGTAGGAACAAAAAATCGTACGCAAAATTAAACGTTGAAATATTATAACAAAAGAGAGAGAGAGAGAGAGAGAGAGAGAGAGAGAGAGAGAGAGAGAGAGAGCGAGAAAAGCGAAACGCGTCCAATTGAATAAATGCCATAGTGAATTTGGGTTTTATGTGTATTTCGTTCGTTCTCTTTTGTGCTTGTGTGGTCTATGATATGCGTTGCGTACACATTGTGTGTGTGTGTGTGCCAAATAATATGACTGTTTTTTTCCCGTTTCCGTCTTCGATTTCGAATGAAATTATCGATAAAAAAATCATCGTTAAAAACGATACGGATCGGAATGCAAGACCATCAAATATCTAAATATGCTTGAATTTGGCGTTTGGTGCAATGATTTTAATCGCACCGTTCATACAACGTTTAGCCAAAAAAAAATATTCCATTTTTATCCAGCTGATTTGTTTTTTATTGTGCTCGTTCACATGATCATTGGCGCAAATTTATGGGCCACAGATTTAAATCAATTCGTTATTTTTTCCGTTTGTTCATTCGTTTGCAAACACAATTTACATTTGTTCAAAAATATACATATTTTATATTTCATTTTGCAGATGAAAA